CTTTCTCAAGATAAAGTTCGTAACTCTAAAAGGTTTATTTTCTTTTTATATCATTTAATAATTATTTATTTATTAAATGAATAATATATACTTACGATCGAAATCTTTTTGATAAAGAAAAAAAGTAGCCAATTCAAATGGATATTGTTTTTCAATATAAGAACGTTTAACAAATGTTGTTTCGGAATCAGATGTTGCCGGTGTTGCAACATTTGTAGTTGCTGATAAATTATTAAAAAATTGACAAAGACCTTCTTGTTCTAATTGTTCTTGTTCAGTACCTGATATAAGTAATTTAAGTTTAGAACGTATAGCATATGGCATTAAATAATTTAATTGATATGCATTTGACCATAATGTATCAAATGTTGTATTAGCAATAAATATATGTTTAGACATAATTGTCCAAGTAGTTAATTGATTACAACAATTTAACATTGATTGTGTCCAAAATTCATGTTCTAATTCTAATACTGAATCATTAATTGTATCATCTGTTAAAGGATATTGTTCTAATGCTGTTACATAAGTATTTAAAGCTGATAAAAAATCTGAATGACTTTCTTCTTCAATAGCTTTTAATGTTAAAGATTTTAAAGATGAAATTTGACAAAAAATTCCACGTACATCATCATAATTTATTATTGAACGATAACATTTAGCTAATTCAAGCCAATAATCAACATCTTTATATAATTGTTTATTTACATCTGGATCAGATTTAAATTTCTTTTTGACTGATTCATGTATAAGTTGATTTAATTCATTTGTTTGATTTAAATGTATAAAACATTCTAATGTTAATATACCAATTGGTTCTAAATGACTAGCTATAGCTGATGCACTTATATATTGAGAAGAAATTTTAATTTGTTTAGATTTTGATAAAATAATATCAAATAAAGATAGAATAAATGATGGATAGAATATTTCCGATTGAGATAACATAACATTAAAACGATGTTGAATTGTATCAATTAATTCAATATATTCATCATTTAATAATTTATCTTCAAGAGATGTTAATATTGATGTAAATAAATTTGAATAGAGTAAACGAGCAATATGATCATCATATTGTGCAAGTGCTTGTAAAGGAATAATAATATCACTAAAACGTATTTGAATATCAGGTAATTCACCAATACGATATGTACGATATTTTTCAACTTGATTTTCTTGTTTAAGTTTAATTTCATTAAGAAATTGTTTTTCTTTTTGTTTTTTTTCATTTTGTTTTCGTGCAAAATAACTATGTAATTTACCTGTATCTTTAAGAAATCGTCTTTTAAGTCGAAATATATCATCTTCATTATTTTCATTTATATTAGATTGATTTATTAATAATGAATTTATTTTTGATTTTTGATTTTTATTTTCAACATTAACTATTAATGATGTTGTTTTATTTTGAGTTGATAATGTTGGTAAAGCATATGTATTTGTTGTATCAAATGTATTTGTTTGTTTAAGCCAATTATAATTTGTATTATTATCTAAAACTTGTGTTGGAATAAATTGTTGTCGATTAGATATTTCTTGTGTTTGTAAAATCATTTCTGTTGTTGGATTTTGTTGTTGATCAATATTATTATTATTATATGTTAATGTTTCCATAAAATGAACTGGATCCATTGTCATAATATTTGTATTTATTGGATCATTTGTAGTTTGAGATTGTAATGTAAATAATGGTGTCATATATGTATGATGTTGTTGACGCCAATTACATACTAATGGAAATTCTTGAAATATACATTTATCAAGTGGATTTTCAAATATAAAACGATTATAATCAGGATTGTGTGTTGTACGTTCAAGAAGAAAATTTGTACAATAATTTAAATATTCATTTTCAGTTTTTATTGAATATAATTGATCAACTAATGTAATAAGACGATGATGTGATAATATACTTAAACGTTTTGGATCACACCAAAAATTACGACAATTAACACGAATATATTCATTTTTACTTGATAATAATTGAAGTAATTGTTCACGTACATGATGATAAAATTTTTCAGACATAGATTTTAAAGAAATATTTACTTCATTTGTTATATATTGTGTTATATAATCATACATCCATTTGTAAATTTCAAGTGTCCAATGTTGACATTCATTTGGACCATCAACAGGCAATGTTTGTGCAATTTCAAATAATTGTTCATGAGTTAATTTTGGTAAAAGTTTATGTAAAAGTCTTAATGCAACACTACGAATACTAAAATCTCTGAAATATGGAAAAAAAAAGAAGATATTATTAAGATTTCAAGTACTTTTTAAGCAATTATATCAGCAAGTCTACAGTTAACATGCTTTATAGATAATAAAATTGTCTTTAGAATATATTACAAGAATGAAATGAAATAGTATGAATCAGANTTTAAATATGCATTTTCAGTTTTTATTTGAATAAAGTTGATTAATTAATGCAATAAGACGATGATGTGATGATATGCTTAAACGTTTTGAATCACACCAAAAATTTCGACAATTAACACGTATAAATTCATATTTACATGATAAAAATTAAAGTAATTGTTCACGCACATGATGATAAAATGTTTCAGATATTAATGTTAAAGATGTTTTGGTGTCACTTGTTAAATATTGTGTTATATAATCATACATCCATTTATAAATTTCAAGTGTCCAAAATTGATGTTCATTTGGTCCATCAACAGATAAAATTTGAACAAGTTCAAATAATTGCTCATGAGTGAATTTTGGTAAAAGTTTATGTAAAAGACGTAGAAGTCAATAAATTATCATCATAGTTAAAATTAAAAAGAAAAGAAGAAGGCTTCACCTTCTATATTCGATGTAGAATATTGATAAAGACAATTTCGACAAGTCTGATATTTCTACTATAGTCTACAAACTTTAGAAATATCCACCAAACTGTAGCCTGATGCAGAGTCCTTCTCGTTCGATTATTCGCGTTCCTTATCAACAGTTTCTATCAAGATAACAGTTGTCTTAAGAAATTAGTACAAGGATTGATTGGAATAGCAAGTTTATGTCATAACTGAAGATTGTTGGGCAGGGTCTGGATCTGACTGAGTCCTAATCTGAAGGTTTATCTGATCAGGCTGAGTCCGAATCCGAGACGGACAATCTAAGGTATGTTAGTCACTGAATACAAATAATAGAGGAATAATATCCTGCATCTTCGAATCTACTTTCGAATTTCAATACGAAAGGTGGAATAACTTGTTCCATGTTAGTCTATAACTAAGAGATGTCGAGTTTTCACACAGGACACCTGTGGACAAAAGTATTCCTTCCGTTCTTCATTTTTTTTCTCCTTCTAATCTCTCGTACATTTTCCGTAAAAAAAACCTCGGGCAATTAGCAACTATCAAACACAAATTGACATATTTGCATGTATAACATCTACAAGAACAACATTCTATCTAATATTCGAAATCATTTTTCCGAAAATCGATCTAGTCGATTTCTACAATAGAACCGTGATCTTAAACACAAATATCATGCGCGCACTCTCTCGAGATATATCAGATCGATTGCAAACCCTTATAAAAAGATTCAAATCACTCGCGAGAATACATAATAATATCTTCTATAAAAGTAACTTTATTTACTTATGAATAATAATATCAAGTATTTCGGCTGCTTTTAATTCTAAATAAATAAAATCAAATTTTGTAATATTCGGAATCATTGCTTCTAAACATTCCATTTTAAAATCTCCATAGAATTTTTTCAAACCAAAATATTAATTTATTCAGAACACTAAAATTTTCTTACGTTTTATCAACAGTTTCAGAATAATGTTTTTGTAATAAATAAATGTATTTTGTAAATTTTGACTATTATGCCATTTTAATATAAAACTTAATTGTTCTAATAAACGATAATTTGATTCATTGTTTAATTTTCTAACCTTTAATAACAGTCCAACAACTTTTGCAGCTGCTGCATAAATATTTCTAGAAGAATTTTTCATACGTTTTTAATAATGTTTCATTAAATTTATCTTCAGTTAAATCATTTGTTATATTATATGGTCATATATGATTAATTAATAATATACCAATTAATGAAAGACCTATAGCATTTTGTTTTGATTTAATATCTTGATCAAATATTAATTTATATATAATTAATATTGCTGCATATATACGTTCGTTTCAATAATTCAACAAATGTTTTAATTAAATCTAAATTTGATTCCATTACAAGGGAATTTTTATGTGCACAATTAAGAAATAAATATTCAATAAGACGTTGTACTGATATTATATCGAATTCACGTGGTATTGCTATAGTAGTCCATTATAATAATATAACAATTGTATCAATAATAAATGTATTTAAACCTTCAGAAAATTTTTCAAACATTTGATGACACAATATAATTTTATATTAAATGTTACAGTTGATTCACTAAATTTTTTATATAAACATATCATTCAAGGTGGCATTTCATTTTGAAAATTTATAGTAAATGATTTAATACGATTAGTTTCCATATGTTTAAGCAAACAAATCATTGGTATCATACATGAATGACGATTAAGTTCATCTATTTCTATATCAATAAAATTTGTTTCTAATTCATTATCTGTACCTTCGATTAATGTTGGTCTATCATCACCTTGCGTATGAAATGAAATTTCAGGAAAAGAATTTTCTGTAAGAGAATTTGATTGAATTTTATGTAAATCATTTTGTTGTTGACATACAGCAGTTGAAGTAAAATCAAATACAGCTAATTCATCAGTTAGACATACTACCAAATAAATATTGAGATGGTAAATAACGTTGTATTGTCGACGTAATTGATTATCAGAATTTGATATTGTAAGAATTTTTTTACACAGAATGTTTAATAATGTACGTTTGTCCTTTTTATAATATCGTTCAAGTTCAAGAGGAAAATGTGTATTTATGATCTGAATCAATTAAATTTTCAAATACGTATTCATCCTATAAAAGAAGCAAAGACATAGTCTGGATAAGCATCATGAGATATTGGCAATAACGGACAGTGTGTCCGGCATGGATCAAATTTTTGTCACCCGACTCATCCATTTTTTGGCTATTGAGATAATCAGTCACAATCGAGACTTCTCTGGGATGGTGTGTGTTATATAGATTGAAGTAGGATTTGAAGTAGTTTGCTAGAGCACGCGGATTTATCGTAATTTTCAATGTTGATCTAATACATAAAGTTGATTCTTAATGATCTTGACTTGTCCAGCAAATTTTGTCTATGATTATTTTAGAGAGCATGTCTGTTATTATCTCATTAGATGATAGGCGGTTCAGAACGAAGGATCTGATTTTATATAAGGTGCCGGAAATGCGAAATTGGAGTGAATTTTTTTCTCGTTCATGTATAATATGGTTTGATAGAGCTTGAAAAGCTGATCACGAATATATACTTTTTATTTCGATTCGACCACTGTTTGGCTGAGAAAACCTTAGAACACTAGAAGAACTAAGAAAGTACCACTTTTACGTTGAATTTTCTTTTTTCTGTAGAAATTGTCAAATTTGAATTTCACTTATTTTGTGAACTTTTTGAAAATACTATACTCTNAAAGAGTTAATCGAATGTGACTTTAATTAACAAATTACTCTTGGGTTTCACGAAATAATTATTATTTTGTTATTTTTCAATTAAAATTTAACTAGAATTTAAAAACTCTTCTTAATTTACCTTTGATACATTGGCATCAAAAATAAAAGCTTTATAAAGTTTAGCTTCTGTTTGTGTACAAATTAATATTGAAATAAGACAATTGAATGAACTCATTGCTAATGAACGAATTAAATTCATTTTCATTTCTTTTTCTATTGTTGTTACATTAGTTAATATTGTTTCCATTGATTTAATTATTTTTCCATCAATAAATTGTGCACGTGCACGTGCAATAACATATTTTGTTAATTCTTTTCCATCCATAGTTGAACCTATTTTAATAGCTGTTATTGGCATTTCAACATTTAATAATTTTCTTGCTTCTTCTTGTTTTTTAACTGTTTCATAAAAAATTTTTGCAATTGAAGAATTTAATCCAAAAACATCATCTTTATTTAATATTGTATACATATAATCAATAAAACGATATGTACAAATTTTATTAATTAATATTGATGTTATTGTTGTTGTTAATGTTAAATCAATTTTAATATCAAGTTGTTCAATAACAAATGATGATATATATTTTTTATAAAATTCAATTAATGTTGTTTTTTTAACTGATGTTAACATTTTTAATATAAATTTTTCTAATGCATTTAAACGATGTTCAATACGAAATAATATATTTTTTCCAAATAATATTGAATAAATATAATCAAGTAAATTCATTTGTTTATTATGATCATTTAATTTAATTATAAAACGATTTATTGATGATAGTATTTCATCTTCAAATATATGATTTTGTTCACAACATAACATCCATATTAATAATTCAAATAATATAAATGATGATGATAATTCAAGTGCTGATAAAATTTTTCTTATTGCACCTTGATAATCATGATATTCTTGTGTACCTTTATGAAATTCTGTACTTTTTAATGGAAAACAATCAGCTGTAAATGTATGTAATGTACGAGAAAAATCATCGGACCATTTTTTTCGTTTATCTTCTTTTAAATCTTCATCTGTATCAAGTGATGCAAAAAATGGTAATAAATCAAGTAAACGTGTTTTAAATGTTAAATTTAATTGTTTATCTATTAATAATGATAAATACATTTGAGATATATTATCAAATTGTTCATGTAATATTAATAAACGACTATCAATAATAAATGTTTTTGTTAATAATGTAAGAATTAATAATTTATCATCAATATTTGTTGAACNAAATCATAAAAAACATACATGTTTTATTTGTTTAGTTTTTTTAAGCATTCTTGTTGGTAAAACACGTTTGCTTTTCGAATTTAGACGTGTTTTTTCTTGTAATGATGAAACAACAGCTCGAACATTAACATCATCCCCTAAAATCGTCAGATATTTAATCTTTTATATTGTTTTTTTTTTTTTCGTCATAGTTTTACCTTGATCATAAGATAAACGAAGAAAATCATCAAGATAAGGTAATATTTGATTATAAAAATTTGGTAAATTTAATGATGTTGATTGTGACCATCGTTCAAGACTATTTATTGTTTGTTCAGCTAATGGTAAATAAGTTAAACCAATACTTAAAGCAATCTAAAATGATATCATTTAAATCATTTTTTATTTACAAAAAAAAAAGAGAAATTTACTTGAATTGCTGGTACATAATTAGCAAAATCATAATCAATACATTCTGATGGTAATGATATAATAAATTGTAAACATGATACAAGTAAATCATCACGATATTGTTTTTGACGAGAAAGTACTTCATGAGCAAATCGTCGAACAAGTGAACAAACAGCTGTTACTTGTTCATTTTCATTTATATCAATTTCCATCATTTCAATACCATCACGTGTTATTGCTTCAGAACGATTTGACTAAGAAGGAAAAAACAAAAGAAACGAATATCCAAAAATTGATCAGTAAGATTTTTTTAAAATTATTTTAATTACTTTAAAATAATCAAGTTTTAGACAAATATTCATAACGAATGTAGCAAATCGATATATGCCACTAACTAATGGATATCTAAATTAAAAATATTTATTTCGAGTAATTTAGAATCATATTGACAAACTTTGTTGATGTAGCAATAATATCGTATAAAAATCGAAATATCCATTTTTGAAATAATTCTGGTGATTGATCAGGTAATAAATCTCTAAAACAAATTCAATCAAGGATGAAGACGGCATATAAAAAATCAGGATTTATTCTATGAAATCAATTCATAGATGATTCCGCTGATAAAACATGTAAGGTTTTATGCTCAATTAGAAAGGTTCACTAAACATTTATATTTATACTCATACATAATATTTCCTATCCTTAAATAGATTATCAGTTATTTCTCTGTAATGCTAAGAAAGTTTTTGTACTTAGAAATCGTATTAGCGGTGGCAAAGCTCTCTCCCATTGCTCTATCATTGGGTCTATGACAATTGGTCATAATACTAAAAAATAAACTGAGCAAAAAACTTTCTGACAAAAATCGACAAGATTATAGAATATTTGAAAATCCATTGGTTTAACAGGTTGCATACCAAAAACAGGATCAGTAGTTGCAGTTCCATCATTATTTTCATCCTAAATTCTAATTATAATCGAAAAGAAAAAAAACATTATAAATTTATTCTTACATCTGATTTTTCTTTTTCAACACTTAAATCAAGTCGATCAATAATATGTAAAATTGAATCAATTATTTCATCATATAATGATACAAGCATATTTAGTCGATCAAATATTGGATATGCACTTGTATCGAATTCCTTTTAATCCACAAAAAAAACTTTTAATGAAAAAAAAGAAAAGAAAAGCATATTTCATTTAATTACTTTTAATGAAGTAACACTTAAAATTGATCTCCATAATGGAAGATAATTTTCATATGTAATTGTTTTTCCAATTGATAAAAGAGATTTAAGTTTATCTTCTGATATATCTGGTTCATAATTTTCTAATTGTTGTTCAACAGTTGATTTTAATGGATGTGAACAACAACGAATAAGTGCTTGAGTTACTAAACAAAAATAAAATTAAAATAAATATTCAAAGAAAGAAAAAAAAAAACTAACCAATTCGTGATAAAAATGGTTTATATGAATTTGGTTTTGTTTGTAAAGCTAAAATCATTTTAATTACAGATGAACATGTTGTTGCTTGTGGTTTTGGTTGATAACGTGGATAATAATCAATTGTCATTACAGTTAAACGTTCAAGTGGACCAAGAAATTCTTCACCAATCTAATTAAATAAATTTAAATTTAAATAAAAATTTATTTTTTTGGTTTTTTACATTTGTCATTTCAATAATAATAGCTGAAAGTGCATCTATTAAATTAGGTAATCCATAAAAACGTTCATCAAAAATATCCATTGCTTGTGATAATGTTGCTGTTGGCATTGCTATTTGTTCACAACGTTGAATAAGACCAACAAACATAAATTTAACATCTTCTTCTGTACCATAAAGTTTACAAGCCTATAGAGTAAAAATAAAAGCAACTATTCAGATTTTATATATATGCAAAATTGAAAAGTTCATTTGATTATTATCGAAATCAGTCATAAGGAACGTTCGAGTAAAGGAAAAGTCAAACATTTCTGGATGTTCAAACACTTACGTCAGGCATCGAAAAATTCACTTGAGCGAACTATAGACTGGTTAGTATAAGAAAATGTTCACATAGAGAAGTTTCACTGTAGTTAGTATTGTTTTTAAATTATTCATAGAATAGTATTCGATCGAAAGCCCGACAATCAAATGAAAAAGATATATGTTCAAGTTGTTCATTATACAAATTTTTACATTCATTGGATGTGATACCGAGTATTTTAAACCTTATGAATTGTATCTATTAGAATGATCTAACTTATGTTATTAAAACAAAAAATCTCCCGAAAAGACAAAATTATAATATTTAATAGAATAATCTTACATTAGCAAAGATTCCATAACCACGAATACCCATTGCTAAATCTCGAATTTCTAATTCTGGTGTATCAATTTTATCTCGAAATTCTTTAATAAAATATTGAAAAACTTGTACAGCACGACGACGTTCTTCGGGTGTTTTAATATTTGTTTCTTTTAATGCATTAGCAACCTAAACAAAAAGAAAAAAGAAACAAGTAAATATAACATAAAAAAGAAAATTAGAATCGTTTTAATTTTTTACTCCAAGTAAAAAAGTATCATATGCACGTTGTGCTACTTTTTTAACATCATAATTATCATGTGCATTCCATGCTCGAATACATCGAAGTATTTCAGGATAATCTTCATAAAGATATTCAGTAAATAAAGTTGAATGTTGAGCGAATAATTCAAGACCAGCTAAATATATAAAATAATTTCATTGAATTTATTAATTAAAATATAAAATAAAACAAATTTTATTGTACCTTTAACTAATGCATATCGATTTAAATTAGTTTGATCTTGTGTTTGTATTGCACGTGTTGCATAAATATAAATACGTTTTAAATCTGATTCACATCGTATTCGTTCTTCATTATAACGTTTATCATCTTCTTTAGTTTTACTTCGTACGATAGATGGTTGTGAATGAACTATAGTAAAATAAAAATTAATTGAAAAATTTCGATTGATTTGCTTTCGTAATTATAAAAAAAAAACTTTACCAGGTGTTGATGATGGAGTAAAATTAACAAGATAATTAACAAGACCTTCTATTGCACCTGCCGCAATTAACATTTCAAATTTAACATCTTTGACTAA